TCATGATAAATTGTAATCTAATTCTGAACAGTAACATGTTTAGCAGATATTTCACCAACACAGACGATGAGTACAGACAAATACCACAAGGAAGGTCCACATTAGATAACAATCACACAAATGTACATGGATTCCATGCTCTGTGCTGACATTTCCCGGTGACCTGGACTTTCAGTTGGGCACAACCTAGAGAGAAGAAAACAAGACTCACTGGAGAACACGGCACTGAGAATCTATGCTTGCAGGGTTCCATGTCCATTCAAGAACACATCTGAGAAGTTGCTCGTATTTCCTAAACAGTCATGTGGCTACATATGTTTATCAACCTATTGTGTTCCAAAAGCAGGGCTCACAAATACCCCCGACTTCAACACAACAAATTTCTAAGTTCAAAACATGAAAAAAGCAATATTTTCTCAGAAAATCCACTTATCGAAATCAAACTTTGCACTGCACCTATCCTATTGGTATAGAAACTGATCCCAATTGGAAAAAAATCAATGACGCAGTTTTCAAGTTATTGGTCACACAAATGTTGAAGTAAATACAACCTTCAAAGTTCAAAACATGTAAAAATTCAGATTTTCTCAGGAAATCCACAAATCAAATCAAATCAAACATTGCACTGCACCTCTTCTATTAGTATGGAAACTGTTCCCTAAATTTAAAAAGAATCCACACAGTAGTTTTCAATTCATAGGTCGCACAAACGTTTAAGTTAAAACATTCTAAGTAAAAAAATTGAAACAAACCAAACTTTCTACTGCACCTCTCCTATTGGTACAGAAAGTGTTCACCAAGTTGGAAAAGAATCTATGAAGCTGCTGTCAAGTAATAGGTCGCACAAAAATATGTCCTCGGAAGGGGCATAATTAAGAGGGGCTCCTGGGACTCTACCCGTTTGCTCCTTTTGTTTTTGAATCTAGTGGACCCCTGGATTTCAACTTTTAACAATAGGGTTATGACAAGGACCCCTCAATTCCAAAGATGATATTATTCATAATTGATTTAAGCAGCAGCCCCGAGGGGATTGCAGGTTAGAATACATCCCCAGTAACATGTGACTTGTTGATTGTGTATCATCACCACTAGGTATTGGATATTAAGGTTTTCTTCCCCCAAATCCACACATGGACTGAATGTGAAGGCCTCTCCCAAATCCACACATGGACTGAATGGGGCTTCCCTCAAATCCACACATGGACTGAATGAGGCCTCTCCAAGATCCACACATGGACTGAATGTGAAGGCCTCTCCCAAATCCACACATGGACTGAATGGGGTTTCCCCCAAATCCACACATGGACTGAATGTGAGTCTATTCAAGGGTTAAGGAGTAAGATAAAGACAAGGTGTATGATAAACATGTAGCATGTTAGAATGTAAAACATGTAGGAGATTACAAGATTAAAACAGACAGAGCAGGTAGGTCATTAAACATGTTAAAATCAAAACTAAATCCAAAGAATACTGGAAAAAATGAAGAAAATGTTAACAATTTCTGTCTCATAAGTAATAATCACATGAAAAAGCTCAACAATGCACTCCGACTGTGTAAAAATAACTTAATAAGGTGGAGTGACTAACCACATTAAACAAGGAATAAGATAATAATACTGCTTCCTCCTTAAATCTTAATATAGACATGACAGAGCTGGGGTATAGAATGATTGTCGTTTAGACACTGACTGTGTATTTCTATTTAAGAGTGAGTGAGTTGTTGTTTAACACTACTTCTACTTCTAGCAATTTTCCAGCCACAGCAAAGGGGGTGGGGGCTAACTAACACTCTAACCACACCACCCCATGTCATATGTGTACCTTTATAACTTAATAAGGGGATGCTTGAGGTTTTTTTACTGAAACGTTGATCCAGGAGGGGATGCTGGGATCACACTCCATGTTTTGAAGCACAATAATGCTGATGTACAAAAAACCTAACTAATTTATTTGGTGACATGTTTTCATCCATAACAATTAATATTAGACTACTTTTAACTAAAAAAACCCAAATCATTTCCTGAATTATGTGCTCGCATTTTTGTATTTCAAGGGAAACATCTTTTTTTTTTTAAATGTATCTGCTTTTGTTGCTACAGTATTTGAATCTAGGGAACCCTAATCTTCAGTTGTTGACATTAGGGACATGACAAGGACACCTTGACTCACAAGCTTAATTTCCAACACTGACGCAGTATTCCATTTCTCTAATTGTAGGCCACTTGGCAATAAAGGAACATTGGCATTTGTGAATGCACAGAGGTCAAACAGATACTGTCAAACACCACTGTGTGTCAAAGTTGAAGGGACCTACGTAAATAGCTCGAGTTATCCGAGGTAGGACATAACCGAATATGATGAATAAAGTAGGAAAACGCAGGGACCAAGCTGTTACTTCAAGACAACGTAAGTTTGACACATCAAAGTTTGACACAACGGCTTTTTACTGTATTTGAGCTTGGAAGAAGACTTGTGCAAAATACAAAAGAAAATCTGCAAATATTTATCAAAATATTTAATCTTGAAATAGTTGCATATTTTCTGCTCATTACTGTATTTTAAAATTACAACAAAAGCTAAAATACAAGATCGGTGTATACATCAGAAGTTTGCTCTTCTTGTATTTGAATCTGGGGACCCCCTAAATCTTGAACTATTAATATATATATTATAGGGCAATGACAAGGACTCCTCGACTTTAATGAAACTGTATATACTATCGCAAAAACTCTCCAGGGTTAGAAAATAATGTTTAAATAAATTATTTGATACAGAGTTGCCATCTGATAAATGGAAAAAGTGGTAGTCAACAAGGAAAGGTCACTAGTCCTGGAATTTTACTAGTCTCAGACTAGCGGACTAATATTAATCTTAGACCCTGGCACCCCTTAACTTTACACTTCATTATAGAACACTTCTTGATACCCGTGAAGATCCGGGGTAGAATAGGTCTTCAGCAACCCATGCTTGCCGTAAAAGGCGACTATGCTTTTCGTAAGAGACGACTAACGGTATCAGGTGGTCAGGCTCGCTGACTTGGTCGATGCATGTCATCGTTTCCCAATCAATGCTCATGATGTCAATCACTTGATTGTTTGGTCCAGACTCAATTATTTACACACCACTGTCATATAGCTGCAATATTGCTGTGTGCAGAGTTAAAAAACAAATAAAAAAACAAATAAAACTTCTTTAGAACAGTACCCGAAGTAATATTAGCATTTAGTGTGGAGGACTAAATCAGGCTAGTCACTACCATTGTTTATATTATTACATCAAAATACCTTCATGCTACGGAGGTAGTAGTGGGACGATGCACCGATGCACACTAAGTAAAACTATCAATTCTTTATACTTTAATGTTTGCTTTGATAACTGTGACAGCAAACACTAATTAGTAGAGAAACTAGTAGTGAAGATGTAAATATTTTCATCCATTGTTCCATACTTGATACTGCCAACTGTAAATCATCAGTGTGCCAGGTATTTAGCCACCCTGTCTATGAAAATGATGGCTTACACACCACAGATAACAGCAAGTATCGCAATACATATTGGATCGTGAGCAAGGTATCGTGATATGCATCGGATCTCCCAGTTGGTGTATTGTCCCAGCACTAAATTGCCAGGACTGTCGTTATTATTGTTTACAAATTCGATCAACTTAAACCTAAATCAGCTTTCATCAAATCTGGTTTATTTTGGAACTATTTCATCTTGTGACATAGAATCTGCTAGCTTCAGCATTTGCTCTTATTCATTCCTTAGGCCTTACCTAGGTGTTTCTCTCGCTCTCACTGTGTACATTCATTGGGTCATGTTCACACAATCCTCTAGTACCTCCACATTGGTGACCATTTCACCCATGTAAGATCTCTGTCTTATTTTCAAGTTCCTGGATCAGACAGGATAGCGGAGCCTGGTATAATCATTAATAATGAGGTCATAATCTCACATAATACATATGATCATTATTTGTTTTCAAATCACTGGATCTCTTGACTTGTGATGACAAGAAAGTATGTGTCAACAAAGTTGATTGGATAGGGACTAAATTGATTATCATTACCTAGACTCGAACTTCAAATTTCAGTACATGCAGGCAACAGACACTGAACTGTGACCTCATTTGTTTACTCTTAAAACTTCTAATCTATTAATCTGTCACAAATTTGACAGATGTATCAGAACAAATTAAAGTACCCTGTATACTACAGAGCACTCCAGAACATCCCTCTACATCATATTTAACTATCAGAAAACATGTAGATCTAATATCATGAAAAATTTACAAAGTGATCTGTCTTAAGCTCTGTGGTGTTGTATGCTTATTTGTCTTATCATGAATTGTTTGATAGGCATTACATAGAAGTTGACGGATGACAAAGTAGAGATAACTTATGATCTACGTGATCCTTGGTTGACAACGGTATAAGGATCTGTACCGAAACGTCGCCTTTACAGTAAATAAAGAAGTTGTTATTCATAAATTGTGTCTTCTTTGTTTTATCTTCTTAAAACGAAAAGAAAAATTAAATGGTTGAGATGTTTATCAATACTCATCTGTGACCCAGGCAACTTAAGAAACATTATTCATACACAAGCACTCAATTAGTGGTATGTGGTATAACTGTTTCAAAGATGCGGAGAGGGGAAATATCCATCTGCCAAGCCCATTACCTATTAATAGTATTATCAATACAACATATATAGATGAATGTTGGCCTTATTCGGGCCAACGTAAGATCTATTTGAGATCGTAATCGACGTCTAATCACAACCTTGGTCGAAAACATTTAATGTCCATGCTGAAAAAAAACATTAACAAAATTAATAGCCGTCAATGTTGCTATTTAGAAGTTGGTCAACTAGCCCGAACGGGTACCAACCAACCGTCGTCTATTTTAACCTTGACAGCACCTCGGCTATTGGGGTTAATAACAATCAGTTAAACAATTCTAGACAATATGGAAACGACTTCGTAATGAAATAATTTATACCATCTTTTCTCTTCTTCCATTGTTTGTACAACATGTAAGCCACAAGAGCAGTACCGAAGACAGCAATCGCGCCAACACCGATCTTTGTATTGTCTTGGTTGACCATTTTCTCTCTCTCTCACATGGACCCGTCCGTCGTCTGCTGTAACCGGTGTTAGTACAAATTGCTCCCCCTTACATTATACCAGCTAGCAAGTGCTCGTTTATTGCGTCACATTGTAATTAGATGCTATTGCGCAGATAGTTTTACGTGGCATGAATTACCAAACCAGTTCTCCACGATGCCATAATTCGCACGTAATAATGAATGCTATTAGCGTGTTTAAGTGTAGTTGATGATAATGTGAGAATAGAGCTAACGAAAGTGTAATCCGTTTGGTATTTTATGAGATGGAAATCCAAAGAGCGTCCACACACCGCATAAGCTCTCCAGCACAACTACAATATATTGGCATCTTAAATACTTTTTATATTGACGGTTTCTATTCCCTGGTTTTAAGCGGCCTTATGTGATTTTTTTGTACATTGTTTAAAGCGTTTCGCAATATTATTTCCGTCTTATGCCCCGTTTACATGCACAACATTTACTCACGTAAGTAATTTTGCACGTGTGTAACTATATACGTATGTATATGTAAATTTAGTATGCGTTCACATTAACTAACGTGTGTAAATAAGGTACTGTATGGCGTAAGGCACACATATCCATCAGTCTGTTCACGTCTTTCAACATGAAAATGTTGTTTTCCAATCAGTCACATGAGAAGAGAGCAGAAATCTTCACACAGAACAATATGTGTTTAATTTAATCTATACTCAATTTTTGTCTCCTGGAAACCCAAAGAAAACACCGTCCGCCCAGCTCTGCATGTCCGCATTAAAGTTGGTAATGCTGTATACTGAATAGAATACAGAACTGTTGACAATCTGTTGGTGTTGACAAATCAACAGATATATTAATTCGATCATCCTCTGACGTTGGCATAAACGTTCATATTACAACACATACATACAGTGTAAATATACATTTACATTTGCACCTGCTCGAGCATTATGAACATGATGTAAATGTGCTCCTGGTGTAAATATACACAAATGAGTAAAAACGTTCACGTGACAAGTATACTCAGTATGTATATTTACACATACATATACTGCCTGATTGCACGAAAGACCTTGAGCTTGAGATATGGGGCGAAACTATGTTACTAGTCTCTCATTACGTTAACAAGTGGCAACACTTGTTCATACCCCCTTCACTATTACATGTAACTACTTTGTTTAATCTATATTCATGTATCTACAATCACAGGAGTCCGTATCTAAAAATAGACGCCCTTATGCATATTCATGACCATCTCCACACGCGAGCCCGAAGGGCGAGATGGTCATGAATATGCATGAGGGCGTCTATTTTTAGATACGGACTCCTGTGCTACAATGTATCTTATATAATGTATCTTCAGTAGTGGAGGAAATAAAGACAATCCATATGTATAAAGGTGCATGTGAACGGGGTTAGAAATATCCAATATCCAAGACATTACAGTAAGTTCTTCACCAGCTTTCTCTTCACATAGGTTGAACAGATGAGACATGATAACACACACTGAGACCATATATATTGTATATTTTATGCGTTTCTCATCAAGTAGTAGCTTTAGTAGTAGTGGTAGTGGCAGTGGGTGGCGGTTGTGGTGATGGTGGTTTAGTAGTAGTGAGTGAGTGAGTTAAACTTAAACGTCGCATCGGCATCTTTTCAGCCATATAGCGACGGTTTAGTAGTAGTAGTAGTAGTAGTAGTAGTAGTAGTAGAAGTAGAATTTAGGGCAGAGTTATTTCCCTTCTTCATATACACTAACGATAGGATGCAGCACAGATTTTCTAACGAAACGGAACTTGTCAAAAAAATAATTTATAAAGGAGAATTGGTGTGTAACCAAAAAAAAATTATTGATTTTCTAAATATAAAAAAAAAAAAAAAAACTTAATCAGTCACACTCACACACAGACGAACACATTCACACCTAGAATTCGGCCCGTGAAGATCCAGGGTGGAACAGGTCTTCAGCAACCCATGCTTGCCGTACAAGGCGACTATGCTTGTCGTAAGAGGCGACTTATAACGGGATCGGGTGGTCAGGCTCGCTGACTTGGTTGGTGCATGTCATCGAGCCCATGCAATTGCGTGGATCGATGCTCATGATGTCAATCACTGGATCGGCTGGTACAGACCGTCGTCATATAGCTGGAATATTGCTGAGTGCGGCATTAAACAACAAACAAACAAACCCAGAGTTCCTATATCAGTAGCATGACGTCATTCACTGTGACAAGTGATTTGTAATATACAAAAGTCAGTGGGGCGGTCGGGTAGCCTAGCGGTTAAAGCGTTCGCTCATCACGCCGAAGACCTGGGTTCGATTCCCGACATGGGTACAATGTGTGAAGCCCATTTCTGGTGTCCCCCGCCGTGATATTGCTGGAATATTGCTAAAAGCGGCGTAACACCATACTCACTCATTCACTACAAAAGTCAGTAATAGGTGACCAGTACACAAAGTCAATCAGCAAACAAACAGTGATACATTGCCCACTTGGTATAAATGTGGAAAGAGAATTATTACCGACATCGACTGTTCTTTCAATGTATTATCTTTCAGTCAATTCCCTTTTTAAATAATATAAACTTGATTTCATCTTAATACATCTTCATTTATAATGTAAAACTTTGCCAAAAGTAAAAACCGACAATAAATATCATCCTGCAGTTTTTATATCATTACGACAGACAAAAAATATTAGTTCAAGAGAAAGACTTAAGTTGGAACCATGATGACAATTATCATTTATCCAAGATAAAAAATAATTCCAAACACATTCCACATATGTACCCCATAAGAGATTGTTCAGATTCTCTTAAGTTTCTTCAGAAAAATTCCAAAAGGGTTGTTAATTAATTTTCAGTTTATGTAACAACATAAAATTTAACGGACCAACGAGAAACACAAAATGTAAGATTGTCCTAGAGTCAAAAAACAAAATTACGATACACACAACTGATAACTCGAGATATTTCCATGGTTTCCAGGATTTCATCGACAAAACTGGACTTTCACACTCAGTTACCTCCCTTGCCTCGCCAAGACTTCGGATCAACGATGTTTCGCTGTAAGGTGAAAGGAAATAATCTACATTTTCGCAAATATTCGCTTAAATGTGTAATTGTTTTGGCTAATTTCTAACGAGCCAAAATATAGCGTAAATCAAATGTAAATTGCTCATCTCACAGACAACACAGGTTTGATGTAAAACATACATACACAGTTTGTCACATACATCAGTTTTAGCAGCTGCCGAGTTATTGACCACTCTTGTATTGGTTCGAGGAGTTTACATAAATCGGGGTTAATATAATGACGGAACAAAATTGCCTCTTTAAAAAAATGTAAAAACTGCACCCAGAGTGGTGCAAATAAGTATAAGTGAGTATGGTTTTACGCCGCTTTTAGCAATATTCCAGCAAAATCACGGCAGGGGTCACCAGAAATGGGCTTTACACATTGTACCCTTGTTGGGAATCGAACCCGGGTCTTCCATGTGATGAGTGAGCGCTTTACCTCCTTCGTCGGGCAGTAAATGGAAGACCTCGGGCTTCTTCAAATGATAATGCCCTGAAAAATAGCGTTACCGTTATAATATACTCACCTTCTATACATGTAAGTACGAAGTAGGAATCTTACCCCATCCTTGGTGTTAGTTATGGTAGCGTATTGGGGCCGCAGTCTAAAACAAAAGTATATCTACGTTTTCGTGTTGTTTGTTTGTTGTTTAACGCCGCACTCAGCAGTATTCCGGTTATATGACGGCGGTCTGTAAACAATCGAGTCTGGACCAGATAATCCAGTGATTAACATCATGAGCATCGATCCACGCAATTTGGATACGATGACATGCATCAACCAAGTCAGCGAGCCTGACCACCCGATCCCGTTAGTCGCCTCTTACGACAAGCATGGGTTGCTGAAGACCTATTCTAACCCGGATCTTCACGGGTCTCTATAATGAAGTGTAGAGTTTGGGTCCTTAAGTTTGCAGTGTTTCGGCGACTGTTTTCAGCCTCAAAACGTGTTTATAACTATTAGCTCAAATCCAATTTTCAAGTGTATGCTTTCTTTTACATGGCAGTTAATATATCACGTGTGGTATTGTAGCTCATATAGCATAATACTGTGTTACGTTAACGTTCAACGCAATATCTTAGAATGTGAAGGGGGCAGAGATGGTTCGATGGCCTATAAAACACCGCAAATTGTGAAGCATTGTTGCCTCCCTTAGCCGAGACAAGATCCGCTGATCACAGGATAGAGTCCTAGACGTGAGTATGATTCGTTGCTTCGTCATCAGTATGTATTGTGCCCGTGATCGCAGACGGCCTACTGCAAGCTTTCCCTCCTTTCATCTTCAAACGGTATATAATCAAAGAACTGATATTAATCAAGACTGGTATTCACACATAGCTGACCTCTTCTGGCCGAGATTGCAGTTGGAACACGTTACATATGTAGATTACGCAAAATAGTTAACGAAATGAGTTATGTTGATCGACAACACACGCGAAAAAATTGTGGAAATTGTGACATGAGAATAACGAGCTGATTCTTACGTTGTGCCGCGTCATGCATGTTCAAATCTCCACTGGGTCTAGGAACGCCGAATGCGTTTTTACTTTAATACTTCATAGAACAGGAGCGACTTGGGATTTTTGCGTGAGTGAGTTTTAATTTAACGTGACATCGGCAGTATATCAGCCATATTTGGATTTTTGTGAAATATTTACTGATTATTTTGTATTAGGTACAATGTAGCATATGCGCAGTTAATTGAATATACATCTCATATCTGTATTCAAATGGAATATAGTGACATGAAATGAAATAGGATTGGGATTTGGGTGAAATTGAAGTGATTTGAGAAAACGTCCAAAGTTGATAGGTAGCTATATATTATGGGAAGCATATGAATGAAACACCGGATTTATATAACGACATTATTTTCTAGCAGCAGGTTTAAATTGCATCCATATTACACGTATAACAAATCTCTACTTGAAGTAATACATTGATATCAATTAACTTATTTGCAAATGGTTTTGTATATTTTAAAAGTGTCGCAAAACATTAAACTGAGTTACGGCACAAACTGACTTCCGGTTTTCAAGGCATGGTATGAAAATATAACTCACGAAATTAGGTGTCTCTTACTTTGGACTGGTCGTTCTGTAATGATATTTGGGGTTGCTGAGCATATACTTTATTTTTTTAGTTGTTTCTCCCGTGACAGGTATCAGTACGTTTGCTTTTCATTCCTGTCAGTAAACAAAAATTGATCTTGAACTTGAAATATGACAATTCAAAGTGCCATGTACACCGGTCATTATTCTGTGTGTATATTGATGATCGTTATTTGTGGAAACAAATACAAACAATAACATAATCTCATGTTCTGTTTGTTTCCTAGACTTTCTACGACACCACTGTGCATCCCATCCAATTTGATTAACGCAAATATTGTAATCTATGTCTTATTTAAGCTGAAGGGGTCGTTGTCGGCACAGGTACTAGTCTACAGGTCTGTACCCCAGGTACGTTTCTGTATACAGAAATGTACCCTAACCAAAATCAGAATACAGAAGAGTACAAAGAATGAGTCATTTCTGCCTCTGTCACTTGAACGCTTTCATGTACGACACGTCTTAGATGCCAAACCAAGGTAAAAGTAAACATGGTAGAACGCATTAAATATGGATGGGAACTGTCATGCTGTTGTATGAGATGCATTCCGGTGTGGTATATAAAAACAAGCATACCCAGTGTTGTATGTACAGTACTCTACTATTCCACAGTGCGGAGCAGTATCCAGCATGCACTCGTAATCAGCTGACCCAGAACTACAACATGAACCGATTTCAGTTTTGGGTTGAGGAATATGAACTTGTCCGCCGTTTAGGGAACTGGGTACCTTTCTGTATTCTGATTTTGACAAGGGTACATACCTGGGGTACATATCTGCAGAACCCGTGCCGACAACAACCCCTTCAGCGTTATTTAATGAGTGTTATAAGTTACAATTTCTGTATTAATTTTCAGCACTGAATAAACAAAACAAGCCATGCCGTTTATGAAAGGAGCGGCGCCTGTCCGGCGCACACTGCAGTATCTTCAGCGTGGGCAGCTTGTGTTCAAAGACACAGTGCAGATCATGACAGTCAATTACAACACTGGACAGAAAGCAAGCAAAGGCGCTTAGTAAGCAGAGAGTGTTAGACCTTAAACACCCTCGTGTGTCCAGTTGTATTATCAAATCATTATACATACCCTAGACCAATCCACCATTTACGTTGATTTTGAGGCTGATCCAGCAGTAATAATATGTGTCCAGTCAAATTTTTCGATATTTTTGTTTGAAAGACTGTTGTTGGGTGTTGATGCTTATGTTTGTTTTCACAGTGACTTTGTCTTCTGGCATCTGGCCCAGATCCAGTACAAGAACCCATCTGTCCAAATAGTAACATTCAAGAATATGACACCATCTCCCTTCCTGCAGTTCTATCTCAGTAAGTGACATTTCCATGTGCCATAGCTCACCATTGCTGTATGTGTGTATGTATGTATATGTATTTGCTTATGTCAGAGAGCTTTTTACATTTGAGTGGCCAGGGACTTTTTTTATCTGCATTTGATCAATTGTTATTTTATCATGTGGAGAGATTTAATGTTGTATTTCTTTCTATTTATTTATGTCAACCGTGATATAACTGCAATATGGTTCAAAGCAGCGTTAAACCCAACTCACTCACTATGTTTATTTTTTCAAACAAGCATGGTAGAGCGGTTGTGGTCAGTAATCTTTTGCCCACAAAATAGAAAACTGTCGCCTTATATACATATACTTATCTGCATTAGTATCCAATTGCCACTGTCTAATAGCTGGAATATATCATTCGGTGTTAACCAACTAGCAAAGAAATTGTCTGCATATCACAACACTGTAAACACCTACTTTCATGTACTGGTGAAAAAAGTCCCTGTTTTCAAGGCCTAGATTTTCGAAACGATCATAGCCCTAAAATCATCATAAAGTTATTGTAAGGAAATCATAGGCTATCGTAGCCTATTTTGGAAACTATTATAGCCCTAAGATATCGTAAGATTGTCATAAATCTAAGATAGCCGTATACCAGCGATAGAAATTGGCACTAGTCCTGTAGTCCTTACCAAACTGCCCAATAGTTAACTTAAGGTATCATAAGGACTAGTAGAAATTTTTAAGGGTTTTGCTATATGTTATTATTATAGGGACTAGTGGACTAAACATGTTAGTTTCTACCCCTGTATACCTGTCGTAAGTTTATTTTATCTTCATCCAAGATGGCAGCATACTTTACCATAGATATTTTGCCAAACAATTAGTCTGCTTTACGTTCAAACATTGACATTTCATTTTATTAAACTGTGATTCAAATTGACACTTTGAAAACAAGAAGAACGCATTAATGATTTCACGTCAGAAATGTTTTTAATCGCGACCATTTGAATGGTGTATGGTACCAGGACGACATTGTTTGAGATCATGGTCTACCCTTTGTGCAAATGCAGGGACGTCACATCACGTTGCATTAGAATAATGCCCAACCACATGCTGCAGACTTTTTTACTGCAATGGCCGGGTGTTTTTTCAGACCTCTCCCTCATTGTACATTTGGGATGAGATGGACCAACACCTACAACCGGAACTGAACCAGCCGGAACCACAAGCTCAGTTGGACCAATCTTTGCTTGACATTTGGAAGATTATTATGCCTCAGAGTGAGACTGGCCAATCAGAGAGCAAACTACTGACCCAATGAGCCTGTATACTGTCAGTAAAACTCCAAGATGGTTGATACTGACCTGATATGAGACCGTCAGTAATGGCCATCTTGGATTTTCCAACACCCACCTCACATATTTCACATGGAAATTCTGGTACCGAAATTCGTTAGTTGACATTGTGATGTGCAAGGACATTAATCTGTTTCTAGATCACATTCGTGACTTTATTGATAAAGATTATAGTTAAAATTTTCAATAAAGTTTGGCCTCTAAAGTGTAAGATTTGAAGAGTAGTCTCCCTTTGACCCTTAACGTCAACGTCAACGTACGGTTGTAAGTGTCAAGTTTTCATTTTGACATGACGTGCGATATGGATACCAGAGAGTGTAAACTTTTCAACATAATAAATTCGTTATGGTGTCTTTAGTTGCCGTATATGGTGTCATATTAGGTTAGCAGAACAATATTTGGAGAGGCTGACACTTCACCCAATATTTTTCTGCTAACCTAATATGACAAATAATATTCCCCGGAGTGTTTTCAATCCTCCGGTGTCTTCAATGCGCCACCACTGCCCCGTCTGTATCAATGCAAAAGGTTGCAACACCCGATATTAATGTTGTTAATTCAGTTGTTGGGGGCACGGGTGGCCCAGTCGTCTAAGGCGCCGCGATTCGCTGTGCAGAGTTGCGTCCCTTGGGCACGCCAGAAACCTATGATTGTGGGTTCGAATCCCGGTTCGCCCCAATTATGTTTCTAGGTTTGTCAGCACCATACCCGTGCTCGTGGGTTTCACCGAAGTGGTAAACGTCTGAGACCTGCATCACTTCGGGCTTTCCTCCCACATTAAGCTGACACGCCGTGATATAACTGGAATAATGTTAAAAGCGACGTTAAACCCAACTCACTCACTCACTAATTCAGTTGTTACACCACCCCTCCTTTAGGCCGCTCTGTTACTGGGTATGGGTTTTGTCTATGGATTTGATCATAAAACATCGGACCAACTATTATGTAGTTGTTTTTTCAAAAACATAACATTTACACCACTTTATATGAAGCAAAATTACTTTATCCTATTAGTATATAAATGCTGGTATTAATTTCAAACTCATGAACTCTCTGAATAATTGATATCATTGGGAAAGCAGTTAAGTCGCCTCCATCACAAAAGAGCTCAATGTCATAGCTAAGATTTGTGTCACAAGTAAGATAACATTGCAAAAGGTTTAAGACAGCTTCAATAATAGCTCTTTTGTTGGTCGTAATTTTGTCATAAGTTGCTAAGAATTGTCTTAGCTAGGACAGCTTCATGAATAGGCCCCCTCTTACACAGGACAGCATCTTGTTTCTATTTCTGTCAGGTTTTTATATGGTTTTACACTGCACTGAATGGTACTTATTGTTTCAGATGGTGGAAAGAAAGTTTTGCTGGACATAGACACTCAAGATAAGGATGATATTCATGATCACGTCAAAAACATTCTCTGCAAATCATCGTAAGAGTAGCTCTTTATTTAGTTAAAACCCATCTGACTAAGTGTCAACTGAGCTTATTTTACAGACTGTTTGTCTATTTGCTACTGTAGACATCTTTTCAGAAGAAAATAATGTCATTTAGCAATATGTATCAAAATGGTGTTATTGGCCCACCTGATAATCTACTTTAACTTATAATCTTGATTTGATTCCATGCATATCAAAGTATCCTACATACATCATGCATTCACTTTCATCCACATGTACACATAGGCAGACACTAATCCATTCATACACACACCCACATTCAACTTTACATAGTCACATTACGTTACAATCATAATATATTTTTACATTCTGTGACTCTGTAATAATTAACACCCTTCACTTTATGATACGCGACAACCACAACGATAACATGTGGCCTTGTTGCCAAACAAATTCTTCTGGTTGTTATCGTCTGTTTTGTTTCTCAAGTGACGTCATATATATTACATCATTTCAAAAACACTCACTTCGGCATCTTGTAACTGCTGCAGTACAAGATTACACTTACATAACAGTCCAGCAGGGGTAGACTTGGGAGAAGTTCAGGCCGGAGCTGCAAGATCTACTTGTCGCTGGAAGCCCTCCTCCCAAGTACCTTCTTATTCAACTCGGCTCAAACGACTTGGGGGGGTGCATGGGTGGCCCAGTCGTCTAAGGCGCCACGATTCACTGTGCATAGTTGCGTCCCTTGGGCATGCCAGAAACCTATGATTCAGGGTTCGGATCCCGGTTCGCCCCGATTATGTGTCTAGGTTTGTCAGCACCATACCTGTGCTCGTGGGTTTCACCGAAGTGGTAAAGATCTGGTGGTATTTCTTTCTCAGTTTGATTTGGGTAAGGTGTGGATGGCGTAGCACCTTTGGTGCTCGGTGGCAAGGTTTAGACAGGCACTGGACTGATAAGGTTTGCTCGGTTGCCTGCTCGAACAGTGGGAGCCCATTCCAGCCCTCATCCTTCCATGGGTGGACACAAATGCATATAGCTCATCTGCTGTACAGTAGAGAGCACATGGTTTTCGATGCTGCTGCTGGGAGTTATCTCCCTTTGCTCGGTCAAGCATCCGTCTCCGTCTTCCACACCTGGCCTTTTTATATCCAAGCATTCTCTTCTGTTATTATTCTGTTCAATAGTACATAACAGGTCGGCCAATAATGCACCAATAAAGCTGAAACTTGACATGCTTGTCCCCTATTGTGATGTCATCCCCTTTGGTAATATCGCAAAAACATATTGGAGTTTAATTCATGTGTCTAATGTCTGTCCCTCTTATTTCAGGGACACACTGAGGGCTGAAGCTCTTGCTAAGGCAAAGACGTCTAACCCGGCCAACTTCGGCATGAGCTCCACTAGACAGTGTATTTGTGAGATCCCTGGACAGGTGCCCTGCCCCGGATGGGTACCATTGAAGAAAGAACTGAGAGGAAAATACAAGTTTCAGAAGAAAGATGTGGAAGAATCATAGCAACTATAGTTAATGTGTGTGTTTGTGTGTGCAAGATGATATCATGGACAGAAATGTACAGAGAATAGTTAGCCACAGAAGATGGATTAGTAGAATATAGGGGGGGAGGCGTGGCCTGGTGGTTAAAGCGTCACACGTAGGCCTGGGTTTGTTCCTCACATGGGTCCAATGTGTGCAGACCTTTTCTGGAATATTGCTGCATAAATTCCTGCTTGTTCTCAATAGGAGTGAGTGAGTATGGTCTTACGTTGCTTATAGCAATATTACAGTAATATGACGCCAGAAATGGGGTTCACACATTCTACCCATGTTGGGAATTGCAACCCGGGTCTTCAGCATGACGAGCGAACATATGGCAATTTCAGTTTGTGCTGAAACCTTTGAGGTGAGTAGCTCAAACACTAAATGAGTGTCAGAAACCTATAATCATTGGCTCGAATCCTTATTTGGGTGGTCGGGTAGCCCAGACGCTCATCACACCGAAGACCTGGGTTCGATTCCCGACATGGGTACAATGTTTGAAGCCCATTTCTGGTGTCCCCGGCGTGATATTGCTGGAATATTGCTAATAGCGGCGTAAAACCGTACTCACTCACTCACTTATACTTATTTGCTCTACTCTGGATTTTCCTGCCACATCTAGCTGATACGCTGTGATATAACTGAAATACTGTTCAAAGCAGCTTTAAGCTCCACTCACTCACTCACTCTCTCTAAATTGTTTATATGTGGGATTTTGAACGTAAACTGCAATCTAATGCAGCAGATTGTGTACCAAAACATGATTAATATTGAAGTTCAACAAATAAAGTTGTAACAATGAGACTTGGTGGTTGACATCTTCGAGTGCTAGTCCTTATGTAAGGTGTGCTGATGTTAAAGTGACAGATATGTGAAGGAAGTGTTTTATGATACACAGCTAATACTTTGTAGTGTAATAAACTTATATCATTTACATACTTACATGTTTTTGTTTTTTTACAAAATATTAATTGTAAGAGGAACTGATTTGACACATCTGTTTGTGTGAAACAAGTTGAAAAGGAAATGGGATATTATTTAGCTCACCTTGATAAGGTGAAAGCATCTTTGTCAATATTGCCGACTGCATAGTAAAACAAATCACCCTCTATATTTAACATGGCCTCACCCCAAAACACCTTCAAATGTAGAATATTTATAAAAGTTCTTACTCTCTGAAACAATTGGAACTATGGTGTAGAATTGTGAATATGTTTGCGGCAAAAATTATACCAGGGTTAAATTTTCTCAAAATGTCTTGAATCTTGATACAATCACTGATTTTCTAATATTGTTAAGACAAGCTTGACATTGGCCTGCTTCGTGGGGTGTAGAGTAAAGAACAAGATAGTCGTGGTTGTTCTGTTGTATATGCCTCTCCTGTCCTGAGTATCTGAAGATAAAATTCAGCCTATTGTCCAGTGTTGCCAGCTACCAAGACATGACCATATTTCTGCAACAAAATAAGAAAAGGTAGAATGTTATGTTCACATGTTAAAACAGACTTTTTCAACAAGCATGGATTGCTGAAGACCTAACCACCCGGATTTTCAAGGGTATGCCATGTTCCTTGGTTTGCCTGGAAATTTGGAAAGTACATAATTTGTTTGTTCGTTTGTTGTTTAACGCCACACTCAGCAATATTCCAGCTATATAACAGCGGTCTGTAAATACTCGAGTCTGGACTGGACAGTCCAGTGATTGATATCATGAGCATCGATTCATGCAATTGGGAACTGATAACATGCATCAACCAAATCAGCGAGCCTGACCTCCCGATCCCGATCCGATCCCGTAAGTTGCCTCTTACAACAAGCATAGTCCCCTTATACAGCAAGCATCTGGTCCACACTCGATTATTTACAGACCGCCGTCATATAGCTGGAATATGGCTGAGTGTTGCCTTTTTGCTATCGACTAATCTCTATGGGGTCAGAGATTACACTAAGAGGGTAAGGGATTATACTGGCATCATACAACTCTGATACTATATCTGGTACAGTCAAAATCGATATCTTCCGTCTTTCTCGTCAGCTGACTTGAGATCATTGCTTGCATGGTTCTTATCAGTAGCTAGTGAGTGAGTGAGTATGGTTTTACGCCGCTATTAGCAATATTCCAGCAATATCACGGCGGGGGACACCAGAAATGGGCTTCACACATTGTACCCATGTCGGGAATCGAACCCGGGTTTTCGGCGTGACGAGCGAACGCTTTAACCACTAGGCTACCCGACCGCCCCTTTATCAGTAGCTAACAAATAGGAAACATCACAAAATGTGTCATCTGGTTCTGGTGGCAAGATTTTGCCCGATTGATATTGAACTGCGAAAGTGAAGTAACTTATCGTTTTTGATTGGGGAGGAATTGTAATATTTGACAGCGAGAGAACAGGAATTTGTTCTTGCTCTGTGGTCACTGTTTTTTTACCAGCAACAGATGGTAACAAGAAAGAAGTGAGCAAAGCTCACATACCCCGTTATCCCCGCTGGTCAACAACAAATAGTAAATAGTTTGTTAATTAATGAAATATACCTGTTGCTTTAAGTCAGAGGAACTACCCTTTCCTTTGTAACCCCATGAGCTATACAAAACCAGTCATCAAAATTTCTAAATTCCATCATGTTTCCATGAAAACAGCAAAAGAGAAAACTTTCAGAATCTTAAAAAAGATAAAAAACAATCATAGTGGTTAATGTAGCAAGTTTGCTGAAGCTGGGATACATGATATTGTAAACATGGATGGTACAAAAACTCTACCAAATATTTCACCATGATTCCATGGAAACGGCAAAAAAAAAAAAAAAATCAGAATCTTCAAACTAGCAAAAGGCACGAGTACTCATTGTGGTAAATGGGTGTAGCACGTTTGGTGAAGCTAGGGTGCATGGTTAAAAAGATATGTGCCTTCAAAACACCCATCCTAAAAGTTTAAGTTTCTAATGTTTCCGTGGAAACAGCAAAAATTAAAAAAATCCGAATCTTTAAACTAGCAAAAGGCACATGTACTCATTGTGGTTAATGTGTGTAGAAAGTTTGGTGAAACTAGGGTGCATAGTTTAAAAGTTATGGGCCGTACAAAAAGCTCGGACGGAAGGACGGACAGACGGAACGCTATATACCCCCGATTTACTTCGTAAACGGGGGTATAATAAAACACCATTTACCCAGATAGGAACAACTGTTGAACCATTTTGAACAGTCAAAATATATGAATGATAATTCATGACAGCGTTTTTGCTGTATCAGGAAACCTAAGCCTAAAAGGGGCGGTCGGGTAGCCTAGTGGTCAAAGCGTTCGCTCGTCACGCCGAAGACCCGGGTTCGATTCCCGACATGGGTACAATATGTGAAGCCAATTTCTGGTGTCCCCCGCCGTGATATTGCTGGAATATTGCTAAAAGCGGCGTAAAACCATATTCACTCACTCACTCACTCACTAAGCCTAAAATCTGTGACGCTAAATCGGCAACAATTTGGAAACGTTGTTCTATTTAAATGTCCCCCATAATGGGTGGTAAAACGTCTGACTTTTGAATAATGATGTCTTCCCACAGACCTGAGTCATTGAAAACTTCAAGACTTAGAAATCTATTGGCACCTCCTGAATCCACAATTGTAGAAACTAACTGTTCTCCCAAAATAACATGAATCCTATGCCTCTTGTCATTTTTTTAAGCGACTTGCCAGTCAGAAGATTTAGTCTGCTTTGAACATGGAGAATTTGAAACTAGTTGTTCACGTGACTTCAAATACGTATGGTCAAAAGTTTGCTAGCACATTGGAAAAGTTGCCTGCTCGATCGTGACTATACTTGATACCTGCTGGGAGGGGGACCTGAGTGACACCTAGCTCTACATGCTCCTTTGAAATGTCAAATTTTTAGACAAAATTGAGACTAAGTATTGCATGCGGGACACCTATCAGAGTAAAAGGAAAACATACTTACCACCAATGGTGAGGTTAGCCCGTTGAGAAGTTGGTTGCCGTTGTCAGTGATACTGTTGGTCCGGCTGGTGCTTAAACTCTTGTCCTATCTGCTCTCACGGCCGAGTTGGGTAGGGAGCATATGGTCAGAGGGATTGGGGATACTGATTCTGACTCTGGTGAAAGGTATTGATCTCGGACGATGAAAAGGCAAGTGTTGTCAAGTGAGTGAGTGAGTGAGTTGGGTTTAACGCCGCTTTTAACAGTATTCCAGTTATATCGCGGCGTGTCAGCTTAATGTGGGAGGAAAGCCCGAAGTGATGCAGGTCTCAGACGAGTGTCGTCAAGAGGGAGCCAACTGTTCGCTCAGAGTATCGATTGTCATCCGTATCGATTGACTTTCGTAATCTCTGTAAGAGCGGAGGTGATGAGGGCGGGGGAGGGGATGAGGGGCGGAGGAAGGTGTCGTCGGTAGAAGGGAAGTCCCACACATGGACATTACTCACGGAACGACAATAGGAAAAACAAAGAATGGGATCGTCTTAAACATTTTGTTCAATTAAAAACCCGCATTCTCCACCAGGTCATAACTGTTTTCGGGTGTCAAGTGGGACGCTACTTCAGTTGCCTACGCGCACTGTCGTTCCTTGTCGGCATTACAGTTCGCCTTGTCCACCTTGGCCCATCTCAGTCACGGAGTGATTGGTTTAACGACGCTTACCCCGCATTGTCTCCATCAGTATGTATACTCGCATTATAAAGAAACAAGCAACACAAGCTTTATTCTCACACTAGTTTTACTTACTCTCAGTCCCTCTATCAATACACGATCAGACCGGCCAGGCTCGTCACTAAATGGTGAGAACTTAGAACGATCGGATTTCGATCGCAGACCGCGCTCTAGTCTCTAGTCTCCGAATGTTCAGTTCAGTTCAAACTAGGAGATTTTACGTGCGCTTTCCGACTAAAAGCGTATTTCGCACACGGGAGAAAAAAGCGTAATGAATAAATAAAGAAGTGCGACCCAAAAAAATGTAACTTTTACAGAGCTAATCTAATAAAGCTGCGGGGGGTGGGGGTTTGGTTGGGTGGGAGTTGGTGGTAAAAAAGTACTCAATAATATGGAAAAGTTGGGCGTGGGTTGGAGGGGAGGGGTTTAAGCGTGGGAAGGCACGGCGTCGACAGGCGAGCGTGTGGCTGGAAGACTAGTGTCGGTGTCCTTGAAGGAGTCTCTTTGTCAGCTTCTCTTCCTGGGGGTTGGGATTCTGGTAGAGACTCTTTGCAAGGAGGGCGGTGGTGTTGGCGATGAAGTGTTCAGAGCATGAGTCGCCATTACTTTGGAAGAAGCAGAGACCATATACTGGTATATGGTCTCTGGAAGAAGTTATACAGATCTGTAAAATTTGTAATGTCGTATTCGTACTCTTGATTTGACTTCCTGTGTACCATGACCAGAGGAACTCCTTGCTTGGCATGGAGCCGCTCCCTGGGGGTGGAGATGAGATCTGCGTGGAGATCCGGGTGCGTCTTATAGTGGTTGATCAGGATGTCTGATTTTTCCACTAAGACGTCCCTGAAGCTTTTGACCTTGGGGTGGGCCTCGACCGGGATGGTCTGGGTCTGGGCTTCGGTGGGTTGTGGCGCTGTGGTCTGGACGCTGGAGTCGTTTAGGGCGGGCTCCGTGGTCTGGGACTCTGAAGACGCGGTGGTGGTGGTTGGTCGGGGGGAAGGTTCATGTGAGGGGATGTCTCTCCTCCTCCTTTTCTTTCTCCCGTGGCCGGTGCCTTCGGGCGAGCGGAATGGTTCCTCCCCTCTGGATTCGAGGGGAGCGAGTTCCATTGCAGCTGCCGGGGGAGGCGGGGTGGTAGGGAGGGAAGCCTCTATCTCCATGTCTAGGACTGGAGGAGGGGTCTTCTTATCCCGTGGTGGCCTGTTCTTCTGCGCCGGGCGGGGTGCAAGAGGAGCTGGGGCCGGGGTGCGTGTCACCTGAGGCTTGGTCTTGGCCGGGGCC